CCTAAAATTTCAAATCCTTTAAATCATTTCCGTTTGTACAATCATTTATAAACTCGACGCAATATTTTAGCCCGTTTTCTATTACCTCGGTGCTGACTGGGCTGGTAACATGAGTACTGAAGTGGAAGAATATGTCAGTGTAGTACGTGCTTTTGCGAAACGTGCTAAACAGCCGACTGTGATTGATGGGGAAGTATAATCTCATTGGAAACCAATGAGGAGTGAAATGCCACTTGATAATCATGCTTCTACAGTAAAAATTTAATACTCGAATAACCCGTCACTGTTCTTGATAGTCCCGACAAAGAAGTGGAAACACAAAAGCCAAAGGCGGTACGCACTCGGTTGACAAGTAATTGGTGGACTCCCATTATGTCTCACAAAATACACTACCAAAGTCTGAAAGTAAGTAGGAAATCTACCCTCTTGTGTCCAGAGAAAGCCTAATCTTATAAAATATTGTTGTAAGTAATTTGCCAGAATCAAATGATTTCGATCCTGGTCCAAAAAGTAGACAAGGGCATGGTTTGGAAAAGCTAGGAGAATATATTCGTAGTATTTTACCGGATAACTCTAAAGGAGTTCAGGTCAAAAAATTGGTTAGAATAGGCAAGAGGACTGAGGACAATGTTGAACCCCGACCACCCAGACTCCTTAAGGTAATCCTAGGATCGGAGAAGCAACGTAATCTTCTGTTAAGTGGCGCTCGTAGTCACGACAATACCGACATCCGAGTAAGACCTGATATGCCTCTTGAAGATAGAATAAAAAGGAAGACGGCACTATCTGAACTAGAAACCCGTCTACAAAACGGTGGGGAAAATCTGCGATTATTGGGTTGTCGGTTAGTCAATTCTTGGAAGAGAACGCTACCAAAGCGTGTGTGGATAGGCCGTTCTCCTTAGGAGTTTTATGTGCCGAACTATCCGCGAACTACTACAAGGATGGGTGTGAAGTATCCTCATGATTTTATGGCATATTATTCACCTTCCAATCTTACACGGAACCTTGATTGGTAGTTTAGAAAGGTGAATCTTGAACATCACATATTAGTTAAAGTTCTCACGGTTTTTGATTCACTGTCAGACCTACTGATTTACGTTTATGACCAAATGTGCAATGAAACATCACAAACAAGTATTTAAATCTCATGTCCTTCAGCACTTTACTCTCTGTGTGAGTGAAATGATTATAGGTAGTTTGAGAAGTAATATAATTATTTTCCATACTTTTTGGAATTCCTTTGGCGCACCATCAAATTCAATCCAGCTTGCTAAACGCCTTTTCAGTATTATACGTTGAAACGCCTCGCTTACGTCAAATGAAATGTCTCTTGAACATGAAGCACTTATTAATTATTAGAACAGTTATTCCTTGCAATAATTCTTTACTAACTGAAGAAAGTACTACAAATATTTAAGTCTTACCGGTTACTGGATATTTCGTCTTTACTTCTGAGTTTAACAGCGATTCACACAAACTTTGCGTATCTATACCTCCTGAGTTTATATTATCTTTTTAACGTTGTTTTCTAGACCTTATCTTGAAATTAAATAAAGGCGTTGAAGTTCACTACAGCAATTGGGATCACAGACCAAGTTACGAAGCAACAATATTGTTGCTGTATATAGAGCCAACTTGTGTACTACAAAATAGAGGATGCTAAATTATTGCTTTTGGCAGCTATTTTGTGTTTTTAATACAGCAAAAGACGACTTAAGTATGAGAAAACGCAATATTCATGCAACAGAAACAACCCACGACAATAGAAATACGGAATGACCGCCTCCAGTCAGGTCGTTCAAGGTCGTTGAAACGAGGCGACGGCTTTGAGAAAATCCAACGTGCACTTTGCGGGTCATTCATATTTTTTCCTGTTTTTTACCAGCTCTCTCCACTCAAACTACTCAAACTACTTCATTTGCACATAGGGTATCTTCCAGCCAGACGCAAACTGTTGCATATGAATCAATCATTATCCTTTAACCTGCATTTAAGTTTTCCCCACCGTTCCTTTGCCTCTAATGTAGAGTTTTGTAGGATTGGTCAAGCCTAGCTGTTTAGTTTGCTCAAGTTTTAGGAAAACTTTACTCAGATAGGTGGTTTTCATGCACCAATGCATCCTTATAAGAATTTACAGCTAATGTGGTTGAGTCTTCGTATGTAAATACAAACATAAGCTTAATGTTGTAGCAATAACGGTTCAGGAAGTATGATAGTCTGGCACGTAGTTGTCTTCCTTTTGACTATTTAGCAGGACGAGCGTGTTGGTAACTGTAATTTGACTTCGGATTTTCTCTGAACAGAGTAACAAATCCCTTAACTACCACCTGCGCCTACAAAATGTAAATATCTTTTATGAGAGAAGAGAAAAATAGATGGTATATATGGCATATGGTATCTAATGGTTTTTTATAAACTACTAGACAATTTCAGATTTATAATCATATCACCTCGGGTCGTTTTATGATAAGATAGTTGGCTTCAACCGGTTAAAATAAAGAATTTTTGAGATCACATAATTACGTTTCGTCACAATTTCGAGCAATAACTATCTGCTTGGGTATCACTGAAATTTTGGTGAACAAGTGCTGCATACTGATATCCTGTTGACCGTCTGCTGCAACTGTGCCCAGACAATCGTTTATTTTTAACAAGCATTAGTTTTAAGCACAAGGAGGGACATCGTCTAAAATGGCGGTCGCCTGCACCAAACCAACGATGGACTCAACTAGACCATATTGCCATCAGTCATCGTTGTTGAGGTTCGAAAGAAGACTACTGCTCGTCCTGGAATACATGCTTGGACTCCGATCATGTTCTAATACAAGCACTATTTGCTGGTGCTTCACTGGACACGGTAAAGCCACATTAAGAAGACTCATTCTAGTTAAACTCAGTGACGAGAAAGTCAAAAGTAGATTCCAGGAACAACTTTGGCAATTCCGAAAACGAGGCCGACCCGGATGTTGCTTAGCAAGATATACAAACAGCAGTGACATCTACTAGTGATTTGAAACAAAGGACCACGAATAACCAGTGCATTTGTGCTACATCTCTTGCACTGCTAGACTCTCGTAAACTTATCCCATCAGGCTCCGAACACGATGATGAGCGAAAACAAATCAAATCTAGGTTAGCCCAAAGTCTATGGAACGATCGTGAGCAGTGGTGGGCAACGAAAGCAAAACAGATGGAAATGGCAGCGACTGTAGGTAACACCAGGCAGCTTTCCAGACTAATAAAAGAAACCGAAATTGAGAAGTCAAGTGTAAGACAATCTTTGAAAAAGCCAACATTCTCATCTGCTCGCAGTACAGAGGTTTAGAACGATGGAGGAAACGCTCTAAGGAGAAGTTGGGCTCGCCTCCAACTATTTCACAGCTACCTACCATTTTTAAACATCCTGAACGGAACATTGAAATAGGCCCTTGACTCTAATTGAAGTTCAAAAAGCTGTAGCTAATCTGAAACGAGGAAGAGCAGATGGATTGGCTCAAGAGGTCTTTAAGTAAGGTGGTCCAATTTTAGCGATTAGGTTGATTAATATTTTAAATAAAATCTGGGAGTTGGATGTAATCCCATCTGACTGGTCGCAATCACTGATTGTCACTATATATATAAGAAGGAGTCAAAATCATCCTGTGATAACCATGGAGGGACTAATTCAACTAATATAGCATGTAAAATACCAGCCTCAATTGTTGTCGGACGCCTAACTAAGACTTGTGAACTGCAAACACGAGGAAATCAGGCTGACTTCAAACCCGGTCGTGGCTGCATCGACCACATATTCACCATTCGCCAGATCTTAGAACACAGACATGCTTATCGGCGTACGACAATGGAAGTTTATCTTGACTTAAAAGCATCATTTGACTCTGTAGACCGAGAGGTTCTGTGTCAGTGTCTGTCATTGAAAAGTGTTCCTCAGAAGTACATAAACCTTGTGAATGCTCTGGTTTTATGTTGCAGCTGATTGAGTCCTCCACTTATCCTTCAAAGTATTAGCTTCTGGGTCATTTTGTCTGCGAAAATCACTCATATATTCGACACATACTTAAAGAGTTTTTGGATGACTTTACTTTTCTGTTTAAGCTAACTTATTTAATATGATCCTTGTCGCAACATTGTGGTACTTAATACGGGGCTGGATACCTTGTTTAAGAGTATCTGTGTCAGATATGGCATTTGATCAGGATGGCCCACGTTACCATTGATCACTAATTAATTCTGGCTGGCATTTGTACACTACCGAACTCACTAAATTGATCTCAACATTTGCTATCATTTTTTATCCATAGTGCTTTACTCAGTGTCATTAATTTTGCGAAAATTTCAAAGACAGTTATTTACACCAACTTATTAAATCTATTTAGTATGGTATTCACCAGATTACTACTTTTACCATACTCACCATCGAAACTTCCATCTGACGCTATCATAGGTATCCTTCTGCAGATAATGCTTCTTGTGACCGGTTTTTCAAGGGTTGATTTGTCACTGGATCCACTTTATTTAACTTCAGTCTCATCGACCCTAGTATTTGCTGTATGGTGAAGATTCGATATAAGTTCACAAGACTGTTGTATTTTTGGGTTACGTGTGGCGTAGGTTGTCCATCTGGCATCCAAGCAGCGAATATATTGTGTAGAAGTTGCTTATCTCCTTTTTAGGTATGTATGGACTGCGATATTCTAGTATTTATCTAGACAGTTTCATCTCACTGATCTGAAGCCGATGGACATATGTACCGGTTTCTACGTTGCCTATAACTGACCAACTCTTAAAGGAAGGGGAGTTGCTGTTAGTGTATTTTCCTAACGAATAAGTCTGTAATTCGCAGCACTAAATATACACCAGAGACATCGTGTTGCTTTGCTTCAGTCACAATGTGTTTTGCTCTTGAGACTTTCATAAACTTTAATCTGGTTCCTTAGTAGCTTTTTGTAAGTATGGTTATCAGCTTATAATTCAATCTTCTTTCATTTCAAAGAAATATGCAGCCCCCTCTTGTCATGAGAATACTTGCTGCCTCTGTATCTTTAGCCGATAAGGCCTGTTTTTTGATTCGTGCGGTATATGATTCCAAAGACTTGGCCATTATCGACAAAGGAGTTGACGATTTGCAATCCAGAGCTGATCGAGATTCTCAGCGGTGCATAGTACAATCCTTGAACGAGACCTTCCCGGGTCTTCATGTTATTGGTATCTTTAATGTTTACTCTAATAACTCGAAAAATAGGCGAAGAAGGTGATCTGGATCCTGGAAATCTATCTACGTCCACTGAGTTAAACTCAACTGTTCTTGAACACCACTGTCCTCCAGAACTAAAAGATTTGTCACTGGAGGATATTGTAGTTTGGGTGGATCCACTGGATGGCACAAAGGAATTTACTGAAGTATGTTTATCTATTTGATTTTTATTCATGATATCAAGTAAAATACAACCACATACTAACAGTAGATGTCCATTCATGGTTTTAAACTCTTAAGTAAAATTAATTTTCCCTGTGTACGTGCTTCTTCTAAATACAGGGCCTTGTTGAGTTTGTTACAGTTCTTATCGGAATTTCGATTGCTGGAAAGCCTGTGGGTGGTGTTATCGCTCAACCCTTTTACAAAGCCAATACAACTGAGCCACACTACACGACTCGAATCGTTTGGGGACTTGTAGGTCTGGGTGTGTTTGGCATAAATCCTCTGGTACCTTCTTCAAAATTGCCATATCCAGTCAACCAAAATGCCCAAAAACTTACTTCACCTCATATTATTGTGGTTACTCGATCCCATCGCTCTACTACTCAGGATTTTGTCGACGGAGCATTCTATCCCACTGAAGTAAGCATTATTGTATTGTTACAATACATTTTTTGAATTTCTTGTGTAGGTATGTTCAACACTTTTACATATCACATAGTTCTCAAATATTTGATATTGAGCTGTAATTGTGGGTGTAAAATGCTTTGTATCGCTCTTAAAATCAAATAATCTATTAAACTCTACCCTGGAAGTTGAAAGGTCTTCATTTTGAAGAGTTATGAAGCCTCATAGTGGGAGCCGAAATTCTTTGCAATTCACGAAGCTGATACTCTTCTAACAACCAGAGAAACAGTTTTTATAGGTACATGGAACGTTCGGACAATGTGGAAGACTGGGAAGACCAGACAAATAGAAACGGAAACGAGGAGACACAACTTTAACGGTGCTTGGAATCGTTGGAACCCATTGATTCCAAGCTGGACAGGAAAGGTTATATTCGGGAAAGATGCTGCTGTACTCTGATCATGGAGAGGAAAATGCTCCTCACACTCAAGAAGTTGCTTTGACGCTGTTTAAAGAAGCATCTAACGCACTTGTAGGACGGGAATCTCATGGATCCTGGATCATCAAAGCGTCATTCAAAACAAAGGAGGGAATCACAATGAATGTTATCCAGTGTTATGCACCCACCAATTATAGCAGTGACAACGATAAAGATCAGTTCTACGGGAGGCTGCAATCGATCATAGCGAAATGTCCAGGAAAGAACCTGACCATCCTAACGGGAAACTTAAACGCTAAAGTCGGAGTGGACAACAACGTTTATGAGGATATCATGGGATGACACGAACTGACTGAGAGATAGGAATGAGAATGGCGAGGGACTTGGAAATTTATGTGTATTCGACAAAATGGTTTTAGGCGGCACAATATTTCCCCACAAACACATACAAAAAGCTACATGGGTCTCACCGGACCACACCACGGAGGATCAGATAGATCACATTTGTATCAATAAAAAATTCCGAAGGACAATTGAGGATGTAAGAAACAAGAGAGGAGCTGACATAGCTTCAGATCACCACCTGGTGGTGGCCAAGATGAAACTGAAGCTAAAAAAACACTGAACAGCTGGGGAAACAGCATTAAAAAGGTTTAATGCATCGTCCCTTCGAGATACTAACAAGCTCAATCAATTCAAGATAACTCTCAACAACAAGTTTCAAGCCTTACAGGATCTACTAAGGGAAGAAGAAACTACTATGGAGGAAAACTGGAAAGGTATCAAATAATCACTAAATTCAACATGTCAGGAGATTCTGGGCCGCAAGAAGCATCAACATAATGAATAGATCGCCATCGAAACCCTATATAAGATTCAGGAAAGGAAGAACGAGAGTACAGCAATTAACAACAGCCGAACAAGAACAGAGAGAATCAATGCACAAGCTGAATACACAGAAGCAAATCGGAAAGTGAAAAAAGCATTAGAACTGACAAGCAAAAATATGTGGAAGACCTAGTAACAACAGCGGAAAAAGCTGTAAGTGAAGGAAATATGAGACAGCTATATGATACAATGAGGAAACTAGCAGGGAAATATAGTAAACCAGAGAGACCGGTCATGGACAATGAAAGTAAGCCAGGGACAGAGGAACAAACAGGTGGAACACTTTGAGGAACTCTTGGATAGGCCAGTTGTCTACTTAAGGTACACAATGCAAGTTGGCAGGATAGCATCAGCAACAGTTTACTGTGAGAGAGAACAAACCAGCTTCCATCTGGAGAGGAAATTATGAAAAGACGCTGGAAGTATGTATGACATACTTTGCAGAAACCATTAAACTGCGTCAGTAGGCAAGCTCCAACTTAGAATTCTGAAGGTACACATAAAAGAAGAAGACAAAAAGTACATTATTTCGGGAATTAGAAGCAGACATCAAAAGGATGAATAGCAACTGGAAAGGACAGAGTTGGATGGAGAATGTTGGTGCGCGACCTATGCTTCTCCACGAGGGTTAGCAGGCGTAGCTAAGTAAGTAATCGTTGTTCTAGTTTTTACGTAGTTTTCTTATGTGTGGTGTGTACTATTATTATACATGAGCTACTTTACGAGCTCGTGTTTACAACCACTTGGTCACCACTAGTGATGAATGCATTCATGAATACATGCGTTCCCAAGTACTTTAAGCACGATATTTATGCATTCCACCAATTTACATATTTCGCTTATTTACAGAAGCAAAATTAATTTTGTCAGAAAATCCTTTTGTTGTTTGTTTTGTTAACATTAGTAGTAATCTGTGAATCAAAAGCGAATATTAAACTTACAATACGTGTTAAGTTTTCCGTTTGAGACATGTCTATAGTCAAATTATTATTAATTCCGTAAAATATACCGAAACCATTGTGACTAGAAAAGTTCAACTGTATCGGTGTCGGGAAATAATTCTAGATTTTCTACGTCATCCCATTGTAGTTTCAAGATTACATCTTCGTAAAACATATTAAAGGATCTACATTTGCAAATCAGAGCAAAACATGCTAGCAAGTATTATTAGTTTGAAAACCTTGTAGTTTATTTCTGTTTTTTTCCAATGGCGTTTTATGCTTAATAGTCTTGATAAATCTCCCATTTTCGTCGGGCTAAAATGTTTGATATGCTAAAAACCATTCGGTTCTGTAATTCCGAGTTTATATAGTTTAACTGAAAATCGTAAACGTAGTAATTTACTATGACTAATATTATCTATATGTCGTTAACCTACACAGGAACTAGCGAAATAGCTAGCTAAATTTCTAAACCTAATCCGCAATATTTATGTATTTTTATTTATTTATTTTAACATAAATATTGGTACAAAGGGGCACCGAATACATATGTGCCACACAAGTCACTTGATTTGTGTGTGGGCTATGATACTGCTCGGGTGTCCAAACCGAAGCAGGTGGTTTTCTTAGGGGGCCACACCCGGAGCCATCGACCTGAAGGTCTGATCCACAAGGCAGTGGAGCAACGTTAGGAGTGCACTCCCATGGTAGCCGATGACCAATAATAGGTTAATACGCCTTTTGTCCCCTCAGGATACTGGAGCCCATATGCACCACTGGTTTGGAATTAGGGTTTTCCAACTCCCGTAGGTGGACTCTCCGTGTCCACCAACCCGGTTAAAGCGCCAAACACTCGCTTTTCACCCTCTCAATTTCGTAAACACTCCCGTCACGAGAATTCAGTGAGTAGGAGCTCCGTAGGAGTGGCTGTATACATGTGACCATGTGAGAGAGTATTTTTGGGGAGGTGATTCTCTCCGCCCTCTGCCGTACCATGGCATTCGGGGGCAATGAGCAATAAATTGTGTAAGTTTTCCTTAAAAGATACATTTAAACTAACTGACCTTCTCGATCGTTTTGTTATTAAAGAAAAGACCATGCATTCTTTTGATGTATACCTTGTTTTTACGAATGTTCCCCTTTTCCCTATTTGGTCAACACTGTTGAAAAATTTACTTTTGTTGTGTACTCTGAAACTTCATGTTTAAAGGTGAACATCTTCGACAAGTTGATGGTGCTGCTATGGATAGTCTTTTGGAACCTTTCTTAGCTAGTGTATTTGTCATATGTTGAGAGTGTGACAAATGAGCTCATCAGTGAGGTAACTTCATAAGAGATACGTGGATGATGTATTAGTTATGTGTGATAATAATTTCGATACTGCTCAGTCATTAGATAAACTAGATAGTTTACAGGATGATATCGCACTGACCTATGAGGAAGAAAGTAATAACAGATCATCCTTTTTAGACGTACTTTCGAGTCGATGGGAGGTTGGGATTATAATGCGGTCAGTATATAGAAAACCAACATGGAGTGATCAATATTTAAAATTCCAGTTTTTATCCGTTGTAACACGAGCGAAGCTTCGTAAGTGCCTCTCTAACAACACTCAAAACATATGTGCTGCAGATATGTTTGAAGAAGATGCGGAATTGCTGACTGACACAGTGATATCAAACGGTTATCCACTGGAGTTTATAAATAAGTGCAATAGTCAGTCAGCACCAAATCTCTAATTCTGTTGCGAAGGAAAGTGTTAACATACCTCTACTATTTGGAAGTGAATCTAACAGTATGATTTTAGGACGGAAACTAAAATCAGCCATCGAAGACATTACGCTGCTAAACTGATCATGATCGGAGGTACTAATCCCATGATTCCAAATAAACCTAGACATTGCACGAGTAATGCGATGACTTCCCCTTCTTTCCATACTATGTTGATTTTCTCTTTAAAGTATTACTTTGTTTACTTGAACCGTCATTTATTTGACCCTTATTAATTTTCACTTAAGATGCCTTGACAAGTATATGTGACTAGATTGTTCGAGGTGTAACTGCCCAAATACGAAACATTTTTCAGACCAACTTAGTCTTCTCATTTTTCTATCAAAATGTCGACTTCTTGGTCTTTCTTTATTGTGTATAAAATCTTATGCCATTCAGTAAATATGCTGTAAGTAGGATCTGTCGATAAGTTTTCACTTTATGTAGCTCAAAACCTTGTTTTGGACTCTCTGTATCTTGAAACTTTTTTAATGATGCAAGTTCGGTTCTAATTTCATGTATTTTTAGTAATGAAACTGGTTATTTTGGATGTGAGAGTTTATGCACAAGTTTTATCCTTAAAATCCGAAATATACTCGTGCAGTATTTGTTATGCTATCTCATGTTTTAATCCCATATCTTATTTTTTCTTTTCATAGGTTCTTCGTGTAGGAGGGTGTGGTTATAAAGTTCTAGTGCTTCTGGAAGGACGTGCTCATGTTTATGTATTCCCTAGCCAAGGTACCAAAAAGTGGGATACATGTGCTCCAGAAGCTGTGCTTCTGGCATCTGGTGGGATCCTAACAGATTTAACTGGACAGTCTTACAAATACGATCTGAATGCTAAGCATGATAATCTTCGAGGCATACTTGCTACTCCTGTCGCCGATTGGTTGCCATCGTATGTTTCTTGTTTGCCAAAAGAAGTGCTTGACGATTTCTCAGCTCGTGATTAGATAATACTAAATCTTATTTTTTGTTTATTATTATTATTGACTTTGTTCAATATTAGATGTGTAGTACACTATAGAATTTTCAGCACAAAGTGTTGGTCATTACATACATTTCCTATGTGTTTATGTGAATAAGCCTTTCTCTTCGCTATTCCGTAGTCGTATTTCTTTTACTTGATAACAATGTTTATATGACATTCTATATCATCCATAGACTAATTCGTATGTGTTCAAGTGTGTGATTATTTTTTTCTTTTGATTCTCTCTACCAATGTTATAAGTGTTTTAAAAATAGTAATTATTTAAACGAGTATTTAATGTGTTCAGGTGCCCACTTCTTTTCGGCTGTATAAATTGTTTTTGTTGGATGAAAATCATTTATTATTGTAATCTAACTAATTTTATTTTGTGAAGTCCTAATGGTTTCGATTGAATGTTGTGATCCATAATTTTCGTTTCTGAATCTTTCTTAATTAAAAAAAGTCTCAGTCAGTTCAATCGTATTAAAGCATATATTTATTATGTAAGAAATAAATAAAGCTAAATTATTATTAATGTTGTCTTAACTGGTAAAAAGACGATTCTATGATACTGGTTGGTAATAGTTGATATAAAAGTGGAATTATCATTAGTCAAGTGGACACGGAAGTTATGGAGAACAGGTTTTCAATTATCTCAACAAGAATAAATTAGTATGTTGGTTGGATGTAAATGGAAAGATTAAGTATGTGATCCAAATAAAATGTTCATTGACTGACTTGCACGGAAGCGTTGTAAAATTTAAAAACTGCCTACCATTCTTATTTACAGATTATAAACAACATTATTAGTATGATAGTTGACAGTTTTATTTTAGAAAAATATAGGTTTATCATAATTAATCTATCTTAAAACAAATAAACTCAGAAAACGAAACGTGAAAACTATCGTGTATGTAACTTTCTCAACTAATTATGTTAACACCTCTCTTTGCTAAGTCATTCATACTAGTAGCCATTACAGTTGATGTGAAGAATACGAATTATTCACTTTTCTCCATCACATAGACTCCCTAATTCTGATAGATATAGGAATCATGAACCACAGAGTGACAGTATACTATCTTTTCAAATTTCCTGACTGTGTTCTTTTGTTTTTCTAACGAAGTAGGAGCTACAAGCAAAACACACAACAGATTTCGGTTAGCGAGACGTCAAACTGATACTGGTTCTGATATTAATTTGATTATTCGTGGAATATGGCTGATACTAAGGTCCCCTACTGTTTGCGAATTACCATAAATTTGGGGATGATGCTGATAACAAGATTATTTGGTGAAATTCAGCGTAATGTCTCATTTAGATCCGAAACATAATGGGGCTTGTGTCACTTTACTGTCATGGTTCATTCACAAGTCACAGCTAAGTAATTGATATCTGTCCCAAAAGCGTCCCAGCTATGTAATGATTAGTATTAAACATTCTGGTACATTATGGTCTTGATTTGGCCGAGAGTGGAGTGGGTTCGCCCTCCCTCTCGAAATGCTCTCACATGGCCACGCGTATACAGCCTCTGCCAGGGAAGTCCTACTCACTGCCTTCTCGTGGCGGGGGTGTTGTTTACGAAAACGTGAGGACGAAAAGCGAATGTCCGGCGCTTTAACTGGATCCCAAACCAATGGTGCACATGGGCTCCAGTATCCTGCGGGAACAAGTGGCGTATGGACCAATCGTTGGTCACCGGCTACCATGGGAATACATCTCCTCACGATGCGACACTGCCTTGTGGATCAGACCTTCAGGTCGAAGGCTCGGGGAGTGGCCTCCTAAGAAAACCATCTGCTTCAGTTTGGGCACCCGGGCAGTATCACAGCCTACACACACACACACACAAATATGGTGTGGCGCATATATATTTGGTGCCCTCTTGTACCAATATTTATGTGTTGAAATAAAATCCCCTCCCATCCATTCGGTTCTAAAATGCGCTTGGATTCCATAAAATAAGCTGAAGTAAAGCTTTTGGGGAATACTGGTCGAGAAAACAACTTTGAGTCCTTGGTGCAAGTAGCGAACCAGGATTTCCAATGTCGAAGGTATAGTGGTTCATTTCCATGAGTAAACAAAGTTGCGGCCGTCCAGAATGCTTTCATGTTTGATTAGTGTGCTATATCCAGGACTTCGGGCCATTCTTCTGATCATGTGATTGGAGAGTACTGAAATGCTACTTTTGCAAC